CAACCAACACACACACATACATACATAAATTATAAGTATTGCACCCAAAGCTCAAGAAATTTAAAACTATTAGAGAAATTATAAAACAATTTAAATTGTAAAGTAAGAAACTCATTTAAATTTCACTTGCATAAAACCTTCTCATTAAAACCTCATCATGCTCCTAACCTCCTCCTCCTCCTCCCCCTCTCAATCCTCCTCCTCATCCTCTTCAACCTCCCCCTCTCCCTCCTCCTCATCATCCTCTTCCTCATTAAATTTGGGCTGCGATCACGGGCTTGATGATGAGGAACGATAATAACATTTGAAGTTTTTACCTGCAACTCTGGAAGCACTCTGGAGCAACATAACACTCATTGACTCGAGCAGGAAGCAATCCCCCCAATCCATAATCCTCTAATCTCGGTTCAAAACCCACATCCAAAATCGCATTCCCTGGCTTCAACCTATGATGCAAGATCCTTCGGCTACACTCAAAATGCAAATACCTCAACTCTTTCACAATGCCAACTGCAATCTGATGTCTTGCATCCCATCCAAGGCTCGATTGAAGCTCCCTTTGCTAAATTGAGTAATTGGGAGAATTGGGGTTGGTTCAAGTTGGAGGTTTTTGGGGGCAATTTTGGTGGAAAAGCTGACAGAGACTTTGAGAATTGGGGTGCGGTTGGCAAAGAGGAGGAAGAGTCTAATGAGGAGGAGGAAGAGGATGATGAGGAGGAGGGAGAGGGGGAGGTTGAAGAGGATGAGGATGAGGAGGAGGAGGGGGTTAGGAGCATGATGGGGTTTTATGCAAGAAATCCCCTCAGCACCGGCCGGAACAGTAACTCCGGCCAAACTTAAAGCATATATGGCGCCGGAGTCGGCAAAATATACAAATCTGACAAAACTAAAAGAAAATATACCAACATGTCATCAAACCTCTACAAAATATACTAATCTAGCCATTTTACCTATATACATGGGATATATAGCCTGTCAATTTGATTCATTCTTTCCTTGAGTCAATAATATGTTAGATAGATAAATGCCCAGCTGTCTCCCTTGTTTCAGAGAAAGGAGGAACATGCAGTGTACCGCAAAGTTTGCTTTTATGCATGTATCTACACTACATCTACATGAACGTGCTGCTAATTTCATCCGAATGTGGCGTGCGGACGGTGATCTCGATTGCGTAAAAAGTTTAGAACTGCGCAGCGCGGTGGGACAACTGCTGCACGAGTTGCCACCGATACACACGTACGCATCAGCTAATTAAGCCCATCGTCAATCAATTACTGCATTAACCATTAAATTTTTTTTATCTGTATATTTAATTATTTGAGTTACGTACGGAGCTAGCCAGTTAAGTTTTTTATTATTAAATATTTAAATTGGAGATAGATTCCCGAACACAGCAGTGCGGACCTCATACATGGACGCGTGCCAGTGTACTCTTGCCCATGCCATGCCAACTACGATCCACTGCTTCTGCTAAGCTTTACCTGCTGAGCTCCACAAACTAAAAACAAAAATAAAAATAAAAAAAAGAGGAAAGAAATTGATTGCATTCATCCTCTACTGCTCACTGATAAATGCTTGCTAATAATTAACGTCATATCTTTCGCTCTCAACGTGAATCTAAAGTTTTGGAAATTAGTTATTAAACATAATAATAATAGGGTGGCCGTACCTTTTGCGGTATGGAGACAAAGCAACTGTCTAATTAAATTAATAATAAGGGAACCCTTTTTTTTTTTTTTGGTTAACGGAGATCATCCGCTCTCTCTTTCCGAGACCTTTGCTATTTAACTCGCCGGCACATGGGATTATTCATTATTGTTTATGTTTAATGCCACTCCTTCACTAAATCTGGACTCTGGAGTCAATGTGAATAAATTTAATTGGTAACTTAGCTATGGGTACAACATGACATAGAAAGCAATGGAATATACATATCACGTAGATTAATCAAAATTAACTAAAGTTTAGAAAAATACTTAAAACGTTTTTCGAATTTCTTCAACAATTTGTCCTAAACTCAATCCGAAACAGCATCCTCAAAAGAAAAAAAAACTCTAACTGAAATCCAGAGGAACAATACTAAGAGATGGGTTCTCAATGTTCTTCTATTTTTATAAGGTTGCATATGAACTCTATATATAAGATTGGACTAGCCTTACAGATTTTAATTTTAAATAATTCTTAATTGTTCAAAACTCTATCCATAACAATTAAATATATAATAGAATTATTCGAAAACTTTATCCATAACAATTAAAGATAGAATAAAATTTATATCGCACGTAAACCTCTTCTAATGACATTAGTAAGATCAATTAAACATCGAGAACCAATTATTAATCAAATTAATAATTTTAATTTAACAATAAAATTCTTATCCGACCAATTATTCGTAAAAGCTCTTCCGGTGGAGAGACATACGGACGCTAGCACTGTATATCGACACAGTAGTTGTGTATGCACTTCCGGTGGAGAGTATCGATGAGTTGATGCCTACTACATTCAGAGAGGTCGAGCATAGTTCGGAGGCTGATTCGTGGTAGGTAGCTATGCAGGAGGAGATGGAGCCTCTTCATAAGAACGATACATGGGAGCTTGTTCAGCTTCCAAAGAGACGGATGGCCATTGGTTGCAAGTGGGTATACATGAAGAAGGAGGGCATTGAAGGCACTCCAGTGAGGTTCAAGGCTAGGTTGGTTGCGAAGGGCTATACACAGGAGGAATGTATTGACTACAATAATGTTTTCTCTCCGGTGGTGAAGCACTATTCGATTCGGATTTTGCTAGTTTTGGTGGTATAGTATGGATTAGAGTTAGATCAGTTGGACGTGAAGACGATATTCCTTTATGACGATCTTGATGAAGAAATTTATATGACTCAACCATTGAGATTTCGAACAGTAGGGAATGATAAATTGGTTTACAAGTTGAAGAAATCGCTATACGGTTTGAAGCAGTCTCCTCGACAGTGGTATAGGCGATTTGATAGTTTCATGATCGGTCAATCGTACATTCGGAGCCAGTTTGATCCTTGCGTGTACTATCGCAAGTTGAAAGAAGGTGCGTACATTTATTTATTATTTTATGTCGATGACATGTTGTTTGCCTCTATTTCTAGATCCGCTATAGATGAGTTAAAGGCACAACTTTCAAATGAGTTTGAGATGAAGGATTTGGGTGAGACTAAACGCATTTTGGGAATGAAGATCGGCAGAGACAAAGCAAATGGCAGAATTTGTTTGACTCGAGTGGCTTATCTGAAGAAGGTTCTACAACGGTTTAACATTAGCATGGAAACGAAGCCTGTTAGTATACATTTGGGAGCCCATTTGAAGCTTTCAGCTGATCTTTCACCAAAGACAGTTGAAGATAGAGGATTGATGTTGAAGACTCCATATGCGAGTGTAGTTGGAAGCTTGATGTACACAATGATATGTACGAGGTCAGATTTGTCACAGGCGGTGAGCATGGTCTCGAGATACATGCACGATCCAGGAGTGGGTCATTGGGACGCAGTGAGATGGATTTTGAGGTATATTCGAGGTACGCTCAATGTTGGTTTGGTTTATGAACTGGACACTACATATGGGCAGTTGTGTATTGGTTATGTTGATTTGGATTATGCTGAGAATTTGGATAGACGCCGGTCTACGACGGGATATGTATTCACGTTGACCCGTTCATCGGTGTGTTGGAGATGCACCTTACAGTCTACGGTGACTTTGTCTACGACGGACGCAGAGTATATGGCGATTACGGAGGCTGTGAAGAAGGCTATTTGGCTTCGAGGAATTTTGGAGGAACTTGGTATATCGCAGCGGTCCGTCACTATTCATTATGATAGCATGAGTGCTATCTATTTGGCGAAGAATCAGATTTTTCATGTGAGAACGAAGCACTTTGACGTTCGTTATCACTTCGTTCGGGA